CCCATTCACTTTTCTGCCTTGTTGCTACAAGTTCCCAAACCTTTTCTTCAGTTTCCTGAACTGAATAATAACCTTTAAGAGTCTCTGAACTGCAGCCTGGTTCCTTCATTTGCTACAGTACCCGGAACATTTACAACCACCACTTCAATAAACAAATGCAGTCATTCTATTACCTGCTCAGAGCTGGGCTGTCCAAAGAATGGTCCATTGGCTAAATGAAACCGCTAGGGTTCTACAAAGCACCTCATAACCACCATCCAACAAGTAGAAAAAATGTTTATATCAAGACAGATCACTGTCTGCAGGTCCAGACTTTGATCTCAGTTATACCAGTAAAAATATGGAGTTAACTTCACAGCGGTGAGAGGAGAGAACCAGATTTCCACCGGGATAGCTGAGATAAGAATTTAGCCTGTAGCCTCTCAGGGTCTGTTGTATGTTTGAACTCTTAATCTTCATGAGTCACACCTTGATATCCAAAAATGATCTGTTCCATTTTATGCAGCTTACTAAAGGTGCTACCCTCAGGCTCTAGGCAAGTTGTCAGGACAGCCCTTTGTTGGCCAAATCTGGCTGCTTCTTCCCCTGAACACACTGCCCAGGAAAAAAAGCACTAAAATAATTCCATTCTAGTTTCAGATACAAGGGTACACATCAATGGGCAACAAAAGGAATGCAAACCACTCAGTGAAACCTGGCTTCCCATCTGAGACTCAAACCATGTCCAAAGTTTGTGTCCTGAAAGTGAAAATCCTATGTCACCTAGCTGTGAAAATTCCTGCCTGTGTAGCTCTTAAAGACAGTGTTACTAAAACCATTTGGTAAGCAACCCTGGGCCAGATTATTGGGGGTAGCATGGCTGCTGGCAGCAAATTACGATGTCATGTGGCAAGACATCCCAGTGCAGCAGTGAACCTGCAATGGTATCATATATATAGTAGCCCAATGTCTGTGACTCTGTAACACTGAAATGCTGGCTGTTCCCTCTGGGTGGCACTGTTGCCTCCCGCCGTGGCACTCGGCTGACTTCTGCACCACTCAGACGGGCCACCACGGTGCAAGCGACCGTTTGGGCTCCACGGTCCCCTGAGTGAGAGGCAGGAGGGGGAGAAGAGCTGAGAGAGACAGAGGGGGAGGCAGTAGGAGGAGGAGAGAGAGAGAAAGAGAGAGAGAGAGACCGGAGGCTCAGGAGAGAAGACCGATGTGGAGGAAAGACCTGAAAATCCCATCTTATGACGGGCTAATTGGCTAGTTCAGTAATAATAGGTGTTTGTATGCTGTACTTTTTCCTTGATACCAACTTGTTGTTGTAATTATTGTTGTTATAATTATTATTATATTGTTTTACTGTAACACCTAAGAAGCCCAGTCATGGATCAGTACCTCACTATGGCGACCAAACACAGCACAAAAAGACAGCCTGTGCCCCGAAGAGCTTACAATCTAGGAAAAACAGAGGGTTGTGACAGAAATAGGATGTATGTGATCAAGATAAATTTATGTCACATTCTGTGGACATTAAGGCCAACATAAATTACAGACTTACTGAACCTGACCTTGGCATGACTGCTATGCTAGGGCCTTCTAGAGAGGGCACAGTAAAGCCAATTACATCAGCTCTTTGATGCTTTTCCATCAGGGAATACTTTTTGCTCTCACAAAAGCAAACTGAATTTGAAAGCTAAGGACCCAATGCATCATTTACCATGGCAGCAGGCTCTGATGATAAGCTGTTCACAGCCTCCAGAATCAGGAAATTGCTCTACAAGGAGAAATATCTGTTAGCAACATTACTTGATGTTCTCTTCAGGGGCAGAACTGAAGACACTGCCAGAACCTATGGATTTAAATCACTGAGCATATTATAGGCTACAAGGCAGACATTTTGTTCTGCCTCATTCTCTACACAAGTTAACAGGATAGAGTCATCAGAGGACGTTTGTAATACCTTTTATGGTGAAAGCATGTATAAGTATTTCAGCTCCTCCCTATCTCTGATCTTTGGTAACAAATTGAGGGGCTACATGCCTAAATTTTGCACTTGCTACTAATACACATGCTAAGTGAAACCTAAATGTTAAATCTACCTATTTAGTAATGCAGCCTAAATGCAACTTCAAATGACAGAATGTTGTTCAAGAAATTTCAGACCTTTATAGCCCAAGTAAATTGTTGGCCCCTCCTTTCACACTAAAAATATAAATCTCTTTGTCTCACTCATTTTGCCTTGCTGGAAATTCTATTGTCACTATGTCTGCAGGAGTATGGCTACACTGCCACCCTAGTTCGAACTAGCTTTTGCTCCCAGGTTGTAGAATTCTCTTCCTCGGGATATTCGCATGGCGCCAACGCTAGCGTTGTTTTGGTGTCAGGCTAATGCCACCCTTATTACTCATGTTTTTATTAATGTTTGAGTCTGTATGAGTGTGTTCCTCCTCTCTATATGTTTTTAGCTGGTTATGTCCCTATGAGGTCTCGTATTTTAAATTCTCATATTTTAAATTTTTATATATATTTGTATTTTTTTGTTTGTTCTTGTAAGCCACCTTGAATATTTTAAATAGAAAGGCGGGGTAAAAATATTTAAATAAATAAATAAGCAGCAGTCACAATATTTTAGCTTTATAACGACTCCGAACTACAGAGGAATTTATCTTAATGTTGTACAAATCGATGGGCAGTTCCTCAACTGGTATAAGTTGTCATTGGTCCTTTGTCTTCAAAGGACTTATGACAACTTACACCAGAAGGGGTCTTCCCACTAAAGTTTTTATTCATCTACCAATGTTTGTAGCACCATCTTAGAAACTTGACATTTTGCCTCTTCCCACTTATTCTTTTTTGCTTGAAACTTTAATTATTTTTAATCTATGGCAGTTTTCATTTCAGAACAACCTCCTCTATGGCTTACATAGTAGTTCACTATGATGAAATATTGTTACTAGCCCCCATCCCATGTGGACTCACAATGAATCCAGGAGTTCATGTGAGTGGATCCGATCCTTATTATGCCAGAATGATGGGCTTGGTAGCTCTCATGGTTGGTCAATGGCCCATTTCAGTGCATCCGCAGAGGAAGCAAAAGACAATGGTTTTGTTTTAATGTCTCCCAAGAACAGATGCTTTGTTTCGTTGGGTTGATATAACTTTTGTAAATGTATTGCAAGTTGTGCCTTGTGTCATCAAAGCAAATGTTAGGGGGTTTTTCATTCTCAATTGTTTTCTCTGGCTTTTCACTCTGTAGATTTTAACTATTTTAACATATAGTTTTAAAAATCTGTATGAAAACCATGGCCATATTAGAAAAAATGATACCCACAGTGTATCAGGGAGAGAATTCCTAACTTTGCCTCTGCAGAGTTCGATCGCATTACTGAAGCTTAACGAGGGCAGAGCTTGGTATACACAGACGATTATACATATAATATTTGTTCTGTATTATTGAGCTCAGATACCATAGTAATGGGAGGGCTACAAATAATGGGAGAACAACAATTACACAGCAGGTTTCATTTTAGGTGCCATATTTTGATACCTTTATTCACACTTCATAGAACTTAATTCTACAAATAGTCCAGTGAGGTCAATGGAGATATTCATGGAGTAAAGTGCTAACCCAAATAAGACAGTCAGAATCTGACCCTCTGTATTTGATGCATAAAAAAAGCAGAACAGCTTCCTTGCCAGTGTTCTGGTTGTTTCCTACGATATTCTTAGAAGTAGGTGAAGTTGGTGACACACGTTTTGCAGTATTCTTTGCTCATCTATTATATGCATTGCAACAACTTCAACATTTTACATTTTGCAAAATTTCAAAGACCCATTTCTCTGCCCTCATCCCCAAGACAGCAGCTGGTGAAATTCACCTTTGGCACAAAGCTTCACACTTGCAAGCTGTCATGTAGTGGTGCTATGGCAGCCATATTTGGCAGGTTTTTTCAAAGTGTTAAAATTACTGCTATTACTGCTACTCTTTTTCCTAATTGTGAGAAGAAGCTGCAGTTGATCAGAGGAGATCTCAGAGGGCAGATGCCTTTAGGACAAAGTCAATTAAATACAATGTAGACAGCAGAAGAAATATGAAATTGTGACACTGCAACTAGCTCCTGTAACATCAAAGATAGAGGGTGGATGCCCTTAATGCAACGACACATATATGATGAATTTCATAAATGTGGTGAAAAATAAATTGTGCAGAACATAAATGTCAAAGAAAGAACAGTGGCCTAAGCTCATATCAATGAAATTCAGTCAACACCACAAATGTAATAACTGTCCAGGAAAGAAGGGACATACTCACACATTATTTTATAATTAATTTATCTGTCTATTTATTCTATCTATATTGGTAACAAAGATATATAAATTAGGAAACAAAGTAAGCATCAAATACTAGTTCTGTTCTGATTTTTAAACTTGCTCCATACATATTATTATTATTATTATTATTTGCAAAATAATAAACAAATGATTTCCTTAAGTACAACTAATTGTTCAGAGAAATAGAGGCCAAATAGCTTCTGAGAACCCTCCTGATCACATGACAGCTCAGCCAGTTAAGAAACCAGATCCAGTATCACATGACTTATCATAGAACTGTAGGGCTGGAAGGTACCTTGAGAAGTCATCTCCATTCTCCTGTATTGAGGCAGGACCAAGTATACCTAGATTATTATGACTACCACAACCAACAAATCCAACTTGGAAACAAAATATATAATACATATATTTGCCAATTCAGTTATTCTAGTAATTAAAAAATGAATTGCGTGAAATATGAAACTTAACATCCCAAAATTGCACAAGTTTACAAATGAGCCAATGTCAATGAAATATTTCCTGAATAAAAATGTGCACACCTCTACTTACCACCCACTACATAAGAAAAAAAATCACTTTCAGGATTATTTTTCTTGATACAATAAATAGTTTGTGCATAATTTGTTTTTAGATACAATTCACCTTACAGTATTCATGATTAAATTCAACTTCTAACTTACCTTGCCAAAGCTTCCCTTCCCAATTGCTCGGAGTATCTGGAAGTGGTCAAAATTCACTAGAAAGTAAAAACAAAAGAGTTTTAGTTTCTCAGTTCTGGATATTTTCCTAACAATGTCTTAAAAAAACTGAAAAAAGAAAAAAAAAGATGAGATGAGTGATTTATAAAAGTACACTTCACCAACTGGAGAAGTTGTTGCCAAAAGATCAGTATTTCCAGAAGATTTTTGTTTAAAGAAAGATTTTTTGTTTAAAGAAAACCAGTGGGTTGGGCCCTTTATATCAGCTTTAAACTTGAGTGCTTTAGGGACTCAATCTTCCTTATCCTGCTTATACCCAGAATCTTCTAGTTTCTGACTCCTGAAATTCCTTTCACTTCTGGTTCCTGCATGCCTCATATAGTGTATCTACAAAAATAAAAGGACACACAGGTAGGACCCCACATCTAGGAACCCACTCTGATACTTTTATAGGGTACGTCTACATAGCAGTGATATTTTGGAATAACACAGCAAGCAATTATTTTGAAATAATGTTGAAATGGAGGACTTCTTACTTCAACTCCTGTAACCCTGATTTCATCAGGAGTAAGGGAAGTCAGAGTGTTCTTCCTTCAACTTCCTGTTGTGCAGACAGTGCCAAAAGCTGAGTTAAGCTATTTCAACTTCAGCTTCGCAACTGATGTAGCTGAAGTGGCGTATCTTAATTTGACTTTTGCCCTGAAGCATAGATGTGCCCATAATTAGCAATACCTCATTCCATACAGAGCTGATTTCAATTAAACTACCTGTGAAGCATGGCTATGTCGACACTGCCGCTTTTTATTGGAAAAAGGTGCACAAATTGCACTCTGCCCATCTACTCTGGGCCAAATTTCGGAAAAACCTCTTCTTTTGGAGAAGCCCTTCTTCCTTGTGGCACGAGGAAGACAGGGCTTCTGAAAGAGCACATCTGCTCTTCTGCAAAATATGTCAGAATAGCAGACGCGTTCCCTGGACACAGCAGAGTTTTTCTGGGTTACCTCCAGTCTCCCAGTTCCCTGGACACGGCAGAGTTTTTCCGGGTTACCTCCAGTCTCCCAGAAAAAACCCATAGTCTAGACATAGCCTATGTTGGTATCACAGAACATTTGAACCCTAGTGGCTTTGACTGGCTTCCAAAGAGTCCTTTACCAAGTCTTCTTTCTCACCTGACATTGTTTGACTTTCATCCACAAATTGCACAGAAAATGCTTTCTAGTATAGTTGCCAGTGTGTTTAATTTTTAAAACATTCTAAATATATAGTGAGATTTTTTTAAAAAAACCCAAACAACTATTACTCAGTTGGTTTGAGGATAATGATGCCCACAGAGTATGAGAACAGTCATTTATAGATATGTATAGAAATATATAAATAAGAGTTGAGTAAGTTACATACCACTATTAAACTGAAAAAGAAAAAACACAAAAATGTAACCTATTACAAAAAGCAGAGTGAATGAGTGTGCGTGTGTGTGTGTCAAGGTGTGTATAGAAGGAGGCCTCAGGGACACAACACAAACAAGTCTCACTGCTAAAAATATCATGCACATGAAGAGCTTACTATTGAGCATGCCTGCTCTGCATACAGTTTGGCTATTACCAGTGCTATCAAGAAGTCAAGATTTTAAGGATGGGCCATTGACTTTTATTCCCTGGATTTTTGTAACTATCTGTACTTTACCTGATAGTGATTTGAGACATAATGAAAAGTAAGGGGGAGAGATGAGAGTGTTAGTCTAATACTTTAATTAAGTGCAATATTGCTATGTCAACAACCATACAATTGTACAATTATGATTACTAAATTATTGCTTTGATCTAGTCTCTCCAAAATTAATCTCAAATGAAAGGTGCTATGTAGCCCTTCTGTCTGCATAGGTAGTAAAATAACCCCTAGTACCCTGAGTACCTTGATGATATTAATAAATATATAATTGATTATGATGATAATGATGGTCTCCTCAATTTTGAGTACATTTTTGACAATCATAGTTTTGTACAAATGGGTCTTTCTTGACTCCGTAGACTGGACCAGGAAGAGCAACATTACCCCACTGACAATGGAGTCCTTTTGCCTTTTTGTGTTGACTGAGCTGCATATTGTTTCTGTGCTTAGAGTTGTGTTTCCTCTGTTGCATGCAATTTTTTTCAAGCTGTGAGTGCCCACCCTCAGGGCATGGTGCCATGCAATACAATTAACTACCAGTTGTTCAAAGGTTGAATCAGAAATGCTCATTTTAGATTGTGTTTCAGAACGCCTTTGAAGCATTTCAATTGACCTCCACACTTAGAATGTTTAGAGCATAATTCAGAATATCAGAGGTGTATTGATAGATGGGTCTCCAGCATTTGAATTATCTGGTTTGTCCATCTCAAGTGGGCAGAGATCAAATGAGCTTCAGTGCTGAGCAAACCAGCTTTTACCAGGACTGCAGTGTTGGAAATGTGGTCCTGTCTATTTGATGTGCAGAAATCAGCGTAGGTATTGCAAGCGGAGCTTCTCATGTTTTTTAATATGTAATTGAAAACAGTTCCATGTTTCACATTGTTAGAGCAATATCCCAAGGACATCATAGACTTTGTTTTTTGTCTGTACACAGATTCCATGTTACTTCCAGAGTCAGTGATAGAAGCAACTGTGCATGGTGCTGGCTTTTTAATTTTTTTTCAAGATATTGGTAAGGTTGTTTTCATTTAGCCAGTGATGGGGGCAAACTCCTGAGGCACCACAGCAAAGCAGTTTGCAAGATCTTGCAGTGATGCCTCAGATTGCACCACCAAGACATAATCATCAGCACAGAGCAGTTCCTGGATGAATGTTACTATCACGTTGGTGTTTGCACAGACAGGAAAGACTGATGAGCCTAACAGCACAGAAGTGTATAAAGACACCATTTGAAACATCACAAAGGGTTTTCTCTAGCATCACAGAAAAGACAAGACAAAATGATGAGATGCAAGGCACCTCCCTGCTTCACCCTATTCATGACTGGAAATGTTACATCACCATCAGCAATAACTCTTCCAGCCGATGCCTACATTGAATTGCCAAACTATGTTCATATGTTTTTGTGGACATCCAGATTCAGTCAGTAATTTCCAAAGGGCAATTCAGCTGACTATATCAAATGCCTTAGGGTATGTCTACACTGCAAAGTTAATTCGAAATAACAGCTGTTGTTTCGAATTAACTTTAATAGCGTTTATACATGCAAACTGTTATTTCAAAATTAATTCGAAATAGCAGAACACTTAATTCAAATTTCATAAACCTCATTCTATGAGGAGTAACGCCAAATTCGAAATAACTATTTCGAATTAAGTGCTGTGTAGACACTAAATTCGAAATAGGGGGCCTCCAGCCCTTCCCAGGGAGCCCTGGTGGCCACTCTGGGCACAACCAGGAAAACTTACTCTCCTCTCCCCCAGCTCCAGAGCCATTAAAGGGGTAGACCCTGGCCACAGTGCCTGTGCCAGCTCCAAGCCTGCCAGCCCAGAGCCAGCAGTGGCCACCGTGGCCCCTGACCAACACATCTATTTTTTCACATGCAGACAAATATATTGAGAAAAACACAAGATTAGATTAAAGTGAGAATGTTTTAAACACATTACATTTGTTTACTTGGCTCTTAAACTACAGGAGATTTCATGATTTGGGGAGTTCCCAGGAAGTTTTACTCTAGGAGTAAAGTGTGAGAAACAATGTGTGCATTGTTACATAAAAGCAGTCTCTCTCTCACTCACTCGCTCGGTCTCTCTCTCTTTTTGTTTGTATCCATGACTACACATGAGCTAAAAAGCCCATTCTAGTCCATAATCAAGATATATAACTTTAAATATGCATATCAACAATATATTCCCTTGAAATAATCTGTAAAGAAATGTGGAATTTAATAAATTAAATATGGTCTCCATAGGGGCAGATATAGGGGAGGGCGAGCAGGGCGGCCGTCCCGGGCCCTGCGCTTCAAAAAGCCCCGCGCATACGCGTGGCGCCACCGCGCATGTGCCGTGTCAAAGGGGGGGCCCCGCGAAATTGTGCTGCCCTGGGCCTCGCAAAATCCTCATCTGCTCCTGGGTCTCCATTAACTTCAGATACACATGAAGTTATGAGTGGCTGCTTATTTTTCTTCAATTCCACCAACTTATTTTAAAAAGAGACAGGCAACTGAGATTCCAATAAGACAAAAGCAAGTCTCAACATTTTTTTAAAATGCACTTTTTTGTGCACAATACACAGTACTTCTAAAAATGACAACATATTTCTACAGAATATGTGATTATCTCTGAAATAGAAATCCTAAACTTGCCTACTACAATTATATATATGCTCTAGAGATTTCTTTTTTTTTTTTTTTTTTTTTGCAACTGACAAGAGAAAGCTGTCTTTCACTAACCACTCGAATATCTTATTATTTTTGGATGATTTGTACTAGCCTGAGTCATGCATAAATGCTAGTGAAGAATACCATGACACATACTCCCAACAAGCAAGGATATGACAGCTGTTGCCTATTCACAGGACCATACTCACCCACTAGCTTGACTTCAGTGTGGCATAGTTTTGACAGTCACAATCTATAAGTACAATAATGGTTTGGCTTGAGGTTTCGGTGAAGGAACCTACAGGGGGTGGAGGAGGAACCAGAAAACTCTTCTATAAATTATAAATAAAATGGAATGTAGCAAAAATGACGTAATGACATTCATTTGTTAATAAAATTGCCATCATGTTTGATTGAAAGGCTCCAAGGGGTACTGTGCTAGATCCTTATGAAACCAGTAAGTTAGGGTACATCTATACCAGCCCTTTAGATTGATCTAGGGAGGCTAATGAAGGCAACTGAAATTGCAAATCAAGCCCGGGATTTAAATATCCCGCGCTTGATTTGCATGTTCCGGCCGGTCGCCATTTTAGAAATTGACTAGCCCGAAGTAACTGCCCGCATCTACACGCGACAGTGAAACGGGATTCCAATTTAAACCCCTAACTTGAATCATCTGGTATTCCTCCTGCAATGAGGTTTACCAGCTAA